TGGCAAAGAGCAGCGGAGGCAGGAAGCTGAAATCATGACATTCTGTGTTCTTTTAGAGCGTTTGGAGTTTAGAAACATTGTTTAGAATACTGCAAGAGTGTGGGGTTTAAAATGCCTATGTGAATACTAAAATAAACAACTACTTGTACTACTATTCCTACTTCACGGTTTTTCACTTATTGCAGATCTTCAGGGTACAGATCCCCCACGATAAGTGAGGGATTACTGTAAAGAGAAAGGTTGTACATTATAAATTCAATATGTTTTGATCTATGTGTTTAATTTTTGTGATAAAATGCTTATCTAGATGTCTTCAAATGATCTCAAGTAGTTCTCAGTCCTTGTGGAATTAAAAGCACTTATTGTTTCTGTACAGTGCCCTGAGATGACTTCTGTTGTGATTTGGCGCTATATAAATAAACTGAATTGAATTGAATTGATAGCCTTTCACATTTAGCTGGAATGCAAAAGACATAAAACTATTGATTAAAACCAGAAAATTGCTAAATCTTTTTATAAGAATTAAATATGTGAGAAGGTGGTAAACTTTCTTAGCTCTTTTACAAAACAGCCTTTGCAGACTCCCCCTGCTGGTCTTTAGATGCAGTTTTAAAGAAGTTTTACATTGGCTTAATTTTTCTGACCAGGAGTTCATGATGATATTTTAAATTACAGTTTATCTGCAAGAGATGTGCTCCTTTATGTAAATGCTGCAGATTTTATACATAAAAGTAAAATGCATTTAAGACGGAACCAAAACACAATTCATATTCTTGAAAGTGGTTTAAAATACAACTAGAAAATTGACCAAATGAGAACCTAACCTTTATTTGAGCTGACGATCCATAACAATGTACAGAATGAGAATATCAAAGCCATATGAGATAAGGCTAGAACAAAGAACAAAAATGTTTGTTTGTTCATTTGTGTACAGACTGCAGGAAAATAAAAAATATGAAGAGACTAGCAAAAGTAGTCAGCAAAAAAGTAACCGCAGGCAAGAGGACAGCTATTTTAAGACTTATCCATCAAAAAAGCTGATGACATGAGCAGAAAGTTGTGGTGAAAAAGAGGAACTGAAAGAGACAGGAAGGGCAATTTGCTTTTGAGTGTGATTTATTCCTTTTAATTTTTAGTTCAATTGCTAATGACTTTTTTTTTTGGGGTAAAAAAGACAAAATGGGAACAGAAACAGATATAGCAAGAAGGAGATGGGTGACGTCAATAGACTGTCTGACGTTCCATTTGCTGTATCTGTTTACACACACACACACACACACACACACACACAAGGAAAGCAGACACTCGTGCAAATGAACCTTTTTTCCAGAATCTGTTATCCCAGACAACAACACTGTTTAAAAAATATATTTTAACATCGTATGCAATATACTTATCAAGGATATTTTATTTACCGAAACCAGCAAATGAAAACAGGAGCAATTTTTTTTTTTTTTTAAACTTTCTTTCTCTCTGCACCCAAGGGCATTGTTCTTGCTAAATGAGCTAGGGAAGCTTTAAATGCTGATCTGGACAGAAAATTACCCTTCTCTTATGTAGACAGATATAAGACAGTTTATGAAATGACCACTCATAAAGCAAGAAAATAATACAATATGCGGTTAAATGCAAAGGTTGAAAAAGTTGTAGAATATATAAAATAATGCCAAATATTTCTTTAAAGTAGCAACCTGAAACAAGCATATCCTTTAGAAACACAGGGGTAGCTGATTAACAAGATATACATAATTATGTTCATGACATTGCTAAAGCAAACACTGATAAGTGAACAAATATAATCAAACAACATTTGATGAAATATAAATTAACTGAAAATCTCACATCAGATTAGACATGTCACCATTTAAAATTCAAGAGGTTTATTTGCATTAATTAATTTTCTCTTGGTTTACCTGGTATAGCAGCAGGCAACTGTGGGCTGCGACGGTTCTTCACCAATCGATATTCACTGCCATCCTTCCAATTTTTTCTGGGGGCTGCCTCAACGTTTCCTTCTCTAGATTAGTTGAAGACAAAATTGTTTTAAAACTAAAAATGTAGGTATAATCACACATACATATATATATATATATATATATATTTTTTATTTTTTTTATTTTTTTTTATTAGGTTTACACACACGGATAGTATCTTTAATAATTCATCTGTCTAGAAAACCTGAATAAGTATGAAACCTGCTGTTGATACAGAAAATATTTTTGACCCAGACTCACATGTTATTGGAGTTCTGCTGGGCTTCAGCCAGACGTAGCTTCTTGGCGTGATTTTTGCCCTGATAGTGTGCCTGTGCAACTGCTAGAGAACTGAAGGAGGCATCGCACAGTTTGCAATAGTCGTTCTCTGTGGCCAAGATAACCCGAGGCGCCCCCTTATACAGAGCCTGCAGACACAAGACACAGAAAAGCAGTGTTTGTGATGAGAAAATGGAGTTAAGGAGTAAATACTGACAATAAAAAAATAATAAAAACAATGAAGGCTAGGGAAGAAGAAAGAAGCTATTGTTAACTGGAAAATAAAAGGATTAAATAGGCTTATATAGGCTTTTTACTATTATATTTTAAATTTCAAAATGTGAGATGTTTAAGGGTTTTTTGAAGACAGAAAATTCCAAGTATGGACCGGAAAATATTTTTTATTTTATTTACCTGAGGTTTTATATGTTTCATATCATATACCATTTTGTCAATATAAACACATATCTTATTTATATTAAGATATGTACCATAAGAAAAAAATTAAACTTTTCTGCACTGTTGTAGGTTGAGAAACTAAATTGCTGAGTGACTGCAGTTTTCATCAACCTCCTCAGAGAAAACAGCTTCTATTAGCAGAGTTGCCACTTCAGCAGCAATCCCCCTTCTCCTCAAATTAAACATTTAAGTAAGTTAATGCTGAGGTGTTGAAGTGTGACCTGACCTGCCTGCTTGTGTCACCATCTGTAGACCCTGATCCCACAGTTTGACCAGCCCCCTCCAGGACCTCTGGGATCCTGATGGCTGGTGGTTGTTGGCTTCCAGCATAGAAATTTCTCAGTTTTTTACTGTGGTTTTTTCCCTTAGTAAAAAGGCATCAACAACAGAATTTTATGTTTAAGTTTCTAAGTATTTTATATATTGCATAATCCAAATGTGTATTTTCACTCACCTGATAGTGAGCTTGTGCCTGCTGAGCAGAATTTAGTGTGACGTTGCAGAGTTTACAGTACAGTGGTTTACACAGTTCTTCTAGCCCAAGAGAGTCCTCCTGCTCCTCCATCCCCAGTGAGGAGTTCTCATCCTGGAGCTGCTCACTGGCCAGGGCTGCTTGACCTGGAACAGGACCACAGACGTAGCTAGAAACTGGAGGAGGGTTCAGGGCTGGCCCTGGGGGTCTTGAGGGCATCTGTGAAGGGTCAGTGTCTGGAGCAGGGGATGAAGACAAGGGGCTAGGAGGCAAGGGAAATCGATTGGCTGTAGGTGCCACTACAGGTGGTGGCACCAGCGCTTGGGATGGAGTAAGATGTGGAGGCACCAGCGATTGTGTTAGATCCATATTGGGAGGTAATATTGTTTGTGTGGGATCTACAGGTGGGGGTCCTAAAGTGTGTGCCATTGGTGGAGGGCACAGTGACTGAGCTAGAGGCATTGGTGGTGGAGCCAACGTGTGTGGTGGGGTAATGGATGGAGGCCTTAATGTATGGGAAGCAGTTATGTGAAGAGGTCCTAAACTCTGAGTAGGAGCCAGAGTTGGGGGTCCAATGGCCTGAGTAGGGGCAATGGGTGGTGGTCCAAGAGGCTGTGCAGGTGCCAGTGGTGGAGGTCCCAAGTGGTGCAGAGAGTCCATGTAATGGAAGGGCCGCTGCGGATGACTGAAGAGACTCAGTGGGGGCTTCAGCATGGTTTCTGGACCTGTGAGCATCAGAAGCAAGGTAACGATGTAAACTCATCTGCATTCAGCAACATTCTACTACAATCTGTCAAAATCTGATCGTCTAAGTACTTTTTAAACACTATTCATTCAACCTTTATTTATACAGGTTAGTCTCATACTATATTGATATTTGTTTCTCGAAAAATTATGTTTTCTTTTTGATATTTTGTTCATTATAAAATACTTTAGAAACTTCTGAATAAACTGTAATGATTTTCTCAACAGTCATTTATAATTTCCAAGTAAATTTTCTAAATGAGTCTCATAATTTTTGGATTTTCATTATGCACCATGTGGTTGTACTTTTACTAAAATACTGCCATGAAACCTTGGTCCAACACTCATTTTTCCCAGGATTAACTTTAATATAGTAGAAGCCTACTAGCTTTTAGCTGAGTTGCAGTGGTAAATTGATATGATAAACATAATGAACATGGCACTTTATAGATAGGATCCAGAATAGAGGTAGGATACAGGTAAGATAAATTTGGGCAATGTTCAAATAATCAAAATAAAAAGTCATTTTAGGAGCTAAGAAAAATCCTAATTACAGTGGAAAAGTATAAAATCCATTGATAAAAAATATTCTGAAATGTCTGCCATAGACCAACAATTATTCAAAAAATGGGTTTTAAATCAATGTCACACAAGTATACATGTATAAGCAAAATTAAAATCTATCTATATATGTGTGTGTGTGTGATATAATTTTGACTGAACAGCTAAGAATGTGTTAAACTTCCTATCTAGATATTATTTATTGACCAACATACATTAACACCAGATGTAATAAAGCCCAGGGGCAGGAAGGATGCAAAAAGAGATGCAAAGCGATGAGTAAACAAAATCTCATTCTTGGACAGGAGTCTTGGAGTTTCACATTTCAGTGAGCACCACATGGATCAGGCTGAGCATATAGGTCCTGCAGCCAAGCATATGGGGCATCAGATATTTACACACATGTACATGCATATGGGCAGTGACAACACATAGCCACAGTATTAGCCTGGATTATAAACTGATACAGTGGGTTTACATTTAGTATATGTGCAATTCACGTGTCTGTAGGATAAACGAGAAGAAGCATGAACAAACTGGCACGTTTTAAATGGTCTGAATCATTCTGCATGTGTGTTTGTGTGTGTTCTACCAGAGAAATTGCTAGGTTAGCGGTAAGCCAACAGCTGTGGCAAAACTCGTTGTGCTGGAAGCTTTTATCTGAAAATCCAATTGAAAAACCACTGGCAGTAAATCATGGATCCAAAATAATGCCCATGGGGTGTTTGTGTTTCCAAGTGCTGCTCCCTATTAGTCTCTGTCCAGCTGACTGTCACCTGGCCTGACTGACTTCAGGGGAAAGGTATGCTGGACAGCAGTGTTACAACACTGTTAGTCATGTCAACTGCAAAGTGAGTCAGTTGCAGATCCAACAGATCTTGATGTGGTGCCAGTGCAGTAAAAGTATGTGGCATAACAAATAAATAAATGTAATCTCTTATTTAGATTCACAGTGTTGTTTCTTATATCCTGATTATGGACAATTTTACAATGCTGTTTTAGGAGCTAGTTTGGAAATATTCTGTACTTCTTGAGCATGGACAGTGATTTATTTGTTGCTAACGCTGAAGACCATTACTGGCCACTGTGAGCCAGAGTGGATTGTTAAGAGATGCTGCACAAACAGAACCTCAAGGTTCATTAGTTGAGAGTGCAGCATAGAGACATTAAAAAACGGCAGCGAAAATGAAGAAAAACTATTTTGATAATGTAAAAAATGTACCTAAAAATGAAATAAATGTCACTACTGTAGTGAATAAAAGGTTAGCAGTTTCCCGATACATTAATAAATAAACGAGACAAGCTCATTGATCTTAGTATGCACCACTCAGAGCCAGATCCATCAAACATAGGTCGGATGTCATCAGTCTCTTCCCTGTCAGCCTCATCAGAACCAAAGAATGTTGACTAAAGCAGCAACATTTCTGAAACACTATACTACAAAACAACTGGCCTATTTGCTTAATCTAAATAATTCAACAAAAACATCCGTACAGCAAATTTTAATAAGTAAAAAGAAGGAATGTGTTACATCAGCAAGTTAAGTCTTGTGAGTTAAGCAGGAAGGCGTTGCTGCCATCTTATTCCTGGATTCTATGGGCTCTCTCTGCAGTTCAGACTTTGTTGACAGACTCTGAAGAGCTCTACATGTGTAACATGAACTTCTTATTTCAGAGATACTATTGCTCAAAGCAGATTTACAGCCTTTATGGTCAATTGGTTTTAGAATTCAAGAAATAGACATCAAATAATTGTATTTCTTTTGTTGCTCATTGTTTTAGTTTATTTTTTAGTTTAACCTTTCTTTGGGCAGCACGGTGGATCAGCTGGTAGAGCTGTTGCCTCTCAGCAAAAAGGTTGCCGGATTGAATCCCAGCCGAGGGGACATTTCTGGGTGGAGTTTGCATGTTCTCTCTAGGCATGCGTGGGTTTTCTCCGGGTACTCCGGTTTCTCCCTGACAGACCAAAAACATGCATGTTAGGCTGATTGGTAACTCTAGATTGTCCCTAGGTGTGAGTGAAAGTGTGAATGGTTGTTTGTCTCGTTTGTGTCCCTGTAATGGACTTGTGACCGGTTGAGGGTGTCCCCCACACAGTGACTGCTGGATATGGACACCGGTGAGCCCCGTGACCCATAAAGGAAGAAGCTAGTAAAGATAATGGATGGATGGTACCTTTGTTTATCTTACATATAATTAAGGTTTTGGAGAAAACATAAGCGTTGCCCTGCTGCATGCTCATTTGGCATGAGCTAGAAATCAGTAATTGTATTTATACAATTCATGTTAATAAATTCATGATTTTTCTTTGCTCCCTAGCTTTTTTTCGAAGAACTAATCCTTATTGGTGGAGACTTGATGGGCATTCAAAGGAGCGTTAAAGGAACTTGAGTAAATTTTACATTTTTTAAATCAACTTTGTAAAAGAAATGTAAAAGTTCTAGTGTGATAAATTTATATATTTAAAACAGCTGACATAAGGAAGCTATCCAGGAGGAAAATTAGCATAAGTAACACATATACCAAGTGTACATATTACAAATAAGTTTATTTTGGCTGCTCCCTTCTTCAGGGGTTGCCACAGCGAGCGAACTCGCATGAAAGATTTGGAAAAGTTTGACACCGGATGCCCTTCCTGATGCAACTTGGGCTCGAACCAGCAACCTCAGGATTACAAGACCTGACCACCAAGCTACCACAGCCCTTAGTGAACATATCACAAATAATACTCACCAAATTATTTATTTATTCATATGGTTCAAAACAAGCATGTCAGTGCAAATAAATTTAATAAGACTAAATGTTTTTTTTTTTTAACACAGCTATTCAAAAATCAACATTGCCTGATGTTTAGTTTTTTTTTTTTTTTTTTTTGAATTTCCATATACCGGTATGTTAAAAGCGAGCTAGATCAATCAAGTTAAGCCTTTTCTTCACCTCACACACGGATGCGTTCAGTCTGTTATCTAGAAAGTTGGAAAACAATTTCATAAATTCACCAAAACAGGCAGAAAAGTCAAAAACTTTTTTCAATCTGAATTTGAGGTTCAATAAACTACAACAGCTTACAAAAAAATACAATAACACAATAAACGTTGCTAGTCAAAATCTGCCTCAAGTCATGCTGTGATTAGTACCCAGCAGTTATTCTGTCTCATTAGGACCTGTCATCGCTGGAATAAAAAACAGACAAACATTCAAACATTTCCAAGATAATTATGAATCAGTCACTTGTCAGTTGTTGCTGTTTTCATTTTGACTGAATAGTTTGTAGCTTGCTGGTTGAAAACACTTCTGTCTTCAAGCCTTTTAATTTCATAGTCTCCACTGAGAATCTTTAAATAGGTCAAGTGTTCATTTGCTCTGGAATTTCTCTGGCTGTACTGTGTTGTGTCACATCAATTATGGAGCGATAGAAAGCACATGCCTATTCTACTAATTTCTTCTGCTTCACTGGGCACTGGACAACTATGCAATATCCAAATATTTCTCACTGTGCATTTTCACTACTGTAATAAATAAATCCTGAATAGCAGTTCATTATATGATTCAGTTGTGTTTTTCTTTTCTTTCATTTTTTTTAAGGTTTTAGGAAGAAAAAGTGATTTTCATATGCACTCAGAGTTACCTGCATGACATCATGCTGGTCTTATATTCATGATGAGAATAAATCCAAATGCATGGCTGCATTTCTTACTATTCATCATATATTTTCTTAGAAATTATGTCACATTTAGATGCATCTTTTTTTGTTGATCTTTCATATAGGCTACATAGACTTTGACCAAGGATTAAATGGACACTAGGCCATTTATGACATGATTATTAATTGGTGGAATAATCATTTGTGGCACATCATGATCAGAATCTTGCAGCCTGACACATTTGGCCGAGTCCCTAAAAAACCTACAGAAAAGCGTTTTGGCAGCAACTGCGCAGGTGCACGGAAAACGCTTGGTGTTTAATTGCCACGCAGTACAAAATTGGTTTTCTCACCTTCTCTGACTGGACCACTTGAAGTGAATACAATCCAAATACTGTTTCTTGTTTCAGACTTCAGATCTAGGATGATATAGTTTATAGAGCTCTTCTGCAGAACAACTAAAGGGTATCGACAGTCACAGATTTTTGCAAGGCATGAGGCTCTATCTGAACAGAATGGAGGCTGGTGAACCCCACAACATGACATGAGCTTGACAGCTGCGCTAGGACAACCCTTCTCAACACCCAGCATCCTCTATACCATTTCCAATCATCTCCTTAACCAATTTTTGCACAATAGCGCATGAGACTTTTGAGGAGCTCCTGGTTTTTTTCTTACCTGGCAATCGTGCAAGATAATGGCTGCTGTCACTGTAGCTGACAGGCGGCGAAGTGTAGTTTCTGCAGTACTCTGCGCATTGATAGAAAGCTGCATCTCCGCTCCTCATCTGCAACGCCATCATCGCCGGAACATCCCTCTGCCAACTTCTCCTCTCCGAAAACCGGGCGGTCAGACAGGATGACAACCCCTACCATCGCGCAGACACTGCGCCTTTCACCGAGGGGAGATCTGAAGGAGGGAGCCGATCCAGACCGGGGGCGGACGACAAGAATTCGTGGAATTTACCAGCTTTTGAATATGCTGCATTTATTTTTCCACACGAAATATGCAACGTAATCCCGTCATTTGCTAATTTGGATTTTTCTCAGCCCTTAAATCCGGCTAAAGATCTTCCAGTGTCCCTTTGCTTCTTGGTACAGTCCATTTCCGATGCCACTGCTGCTTCTTTGCATGGGTGGCAATAATGACACATTGAATGAATATGTTACAACTCTGAGGCAGCCAAGATCACCCGAGATGGAAAAAGATGACTGTCAGATCTGTAAACGGACACAGCATAAGTCATATGAGGTAATAATAATAATAATAATAATAATAATCAGAGTAAGAGAGTCAGAGTCAGAGATTCTTTATTGTCATTCGCACCATGTGGTACATGTGGTGGAGCGAAATTATGTACACAGGGTCCCAGTTACATCCTATATATTATAATAATAATAATATAATAATAATTAACATGTCCTTTTCTAGATCAAGAATCCAGTACTTCCAAAAACCTCATCTATTTATTGGATGAGGCTCTACTTGTTTTGCCATCACAGTTCTATTTATTTATTTATTTGTTTATTTATTTAATGCCATTTTTGTGTCTAATCATAACCATTCTGTTTCGTTGAGGGAAAAAAAAAACAGAACAAGTTTAGAAATGCCTTTGGTCACCAGTGAAAATAAACAGGGTACAAAAGTGAGTTGTGAGATGTTGACAAAAGTTTTTACACCTTCATTTTTACACAAACTTGCAATTTAGTAAGGCATGTCCACTACTCTGTTTTGAATTTTTATAATGCCATTGCTATAATCTGATACTGTTATTTCTTATTGTCAACATCACGACTTATTGCTGCAATAAATGTAATATTCTACCTTTTGGATACAAGCATATTCGAAAACTGTGCATTATGATTTAGTTCATCTCAGTGTATGCAACTGCCTTTATTATGTTCCCGTTGTTTGCATAATATGTGAAAAATTAAATGCAATAAAACAGCACCAGTACAAAGTTGAATTATTGTAAACAACAACACAACAATGGAGAAAAGCAGACACAAAATACTGATAATAACTTAAAAAAATATTTGCTGATTTGGGTTTTGTGACATAATAACTTATTTAATCACATGTTATGTGTTTAATAAAATAAAAAGAGGGCTTACAGATATGAATTTTCTAGTTGTCAACTATTATTTAAAGTTGGAAAACCTGTTTGTGGATGTTTCACCAATTTGTTCATTTTGTCTGTTAAATGTTTTATTTTCATCAAATATCTGTTGCCATTTTTTAAATGTCTTCCATCACAGTTTTTCACAGTGCGGTAGTTATTTCTGTTTCAATTTATAGTTTATGTAGTGTTTTTTTATTATTTGCATCAATAGCAGTTTTTTAAAATAACTCTTTCATTGTCTTTTTGGCATCATTTTGTATAATATTTTATTTGGTTCATTAATTTCTGACCATGTTTCACATTATAGCACAACTTTTTATGACTGTGCACCTGATTCTATTTTTAGATCGTTCACATTTTCTCCATTTTCATTTTTATGCAGCTTTACTTTAATGATTTGCTATTTTTATTAAACATTCTGGTTCTGCTGTGACTTAAAACCACATTAAATTCATGGTCAATAAGGCCATTTTGGGCACGTGCATGGACTTACCCAGCCTGTCAAGGCTGTTATTCTATATAATTTGTTGTGCAGCCTATACGATGCTATTATATGTCTCGTAATATTTACTTTATTGTTTTTGTTTGCGAGTGCACGAGAATAGTATTGCTCCACATGAAGTGCACACGTCACCTCGCGCACATCGAGCCCTGTTGGTTTCGCTCGTGTTGTTGTTTTAGAAGGAGGGAGGGGCCAGACAGAGCGCGTGGCTGCTTTTGTCGCAGCAACAACTTGTCCTGTCGAGCAGCGCTCCAGCAGCTCACATCTTCAGCTGGAGCCCCTCTGACTGAGCATGGAAGTCTCTTTTGGCTTTCTGTGACTGTAACCCGGACTGTCAGCGACACAGGAGGGTTTTCTGTCGGCTCGCGGATAACTAGAGCTGAAGCTGACAGACAGAGAGCAGCCCGGCCGGTGCCGGGAGCTACCGCCGCTGGGAACCGGAGGGGCTAGCAGGAAGCTAGCTGGCAGTACCCGGGGAGCCTTTCAGCCCTTCGTCCTCAAACATCTTTGACACAAAGGGAGAGGGTAGGTTATTAAACAAATTAGCTATAATTTTACCTTTCACTCGAAACATGCCCTGTTTTTTTAAGGTTTTCAAACTGTAGGAAAGAGTTAGCATTAGCCTCTAGCTTCAGCGATGGATTTGTGCCCAAATAGATGTTTTGACAGAGACGGCATAGCTAGAATAGTAATTGTTAACCAACTGTGCCATTTCCAGTCGTTGGGCTGATGATTTGTTTTTATCTCTGAGCTGTCATTTCCAAACACCTCATCGTTAGCTAACTGTGAATCACCCCAGCTGCTTAGCAGAGCTGTGATGTTTGGGTTTTTAATTTCCTCCTCCTCCCAACAGATTTCAGTGACAACATGAAGGTGGATGGAAACATGAAGGGTGGAACTGTCACTTCCAAATAGGAGGGCGTCTCTCCAAGGTATGCTCTATATCTGTCTCATTTACAACCCTTCTGTTGAATGTACAGTATGTAATGTTGACTTGTTTCAGTGAGTTTGAAATTCAGAGATGATTTTATGCACAGAATGAAACTAAATCACTATGTCACAATTGTTTTCACTCTGCAATGTGGTGCTAATGGCTAAACTGTTAACTTCAAAACCTATAGAGCTATGCTGTACATAGACTCAGCAGATGTTTAATATTGCCAGCCTGAACTATTGCAGAACTATTATGTACTTGTAAGCCAATATTCAAAGCAAGCTTGTGTCCAGGCCAGTGTTTCCCCACTCTCCACATCCTGTGTTTTGAGGAAGCTTCCTCCTTTGTCCAAAAACACTTTGCTGCATCCTGATCGGGGTGACAGATCACAGGCACGCTCAAAGTGTAGTTTGTTCTACCTCGAGAGTTTTTCTGTTTTAGTTTAGTTTTTGTACCAGCTCTCACTAGTTTTTCCACGCTGTGTATTTTATCTACCATGGTTTGTAAACTTTACCTGCTCTGACAGTTTCCCATCAGTTTTTACATTCGTGTTCATCATTCGGTGGACTACTCCCATTGCAGTTGTTGGTTTTTACACTTCCTGCACCCTTCCTTCTATTCACAACCAGGATAGTTTAACTGAACAGTTTTGCAGCTGCTTTTGGGACAAGGTTAGTATCACAAGCAAAATTTGGGAAGTGATCCCTTTTTATTAGTTTTCATCTGCTCCAACTTGTGAAAATACTGTATGTGTAGGAATTCAAAAGGTTAGTTTTAAGGCTAAAGAGTTGCCACCTTTGTCAGTTTTATGGTGTTTTTCACTTTGATGCTTCTTACTGATTTTGTAATCATTTATCTGATGACACGGTCTCAACAATATCTTGAAAGTTTGATTGATGTAGCCATTTTTTGACGGATTGGACGGCATCTGCAGCCAATTTCTTAGGATCCACTGTGAGATGGACCTTTACAAGAGATCCTTCCTGCCTACATCCATCAGTATCTATAACATCTCTTAATGAAATGAGGATAACGAGTTACAACAAATAATTTCCCTCTGGGATTAATAAAGTATTTTTGAATTGAATTGAATTGAATTTTCCAGCAAGTCTGATGAGTTTTTCACTGATCAAGGTTTTAATGCTCAACTTAGGCCATTGAATTTGGCCTTCCAATATCCAATAAATACTCCCAATAGATTTTTTTCCCCTATAATCAAACATATTTATGTATTTATTTCATTTGAATTAAATACACATTCCACTTGTTGATCTCTTTGTTACACAACATGAACATGTTAGACAACAGGCAGAGGCCTTAGTTATCTATTACCTAGCTACTAAAACTGTCTATAGGTTAGACATTTGTTTTTGTAGTTTTCTTTTGTAACCCAATGAACCAAAAGAGATTCCTAAGATGCTTAAAGGGTTTCAATATTGTGTATTTATTTTATTTTCAAATCTAAGTGATCTACATGCTAAAGCATGCATATAAAACCAGCATGTAAAAAAATACAATTGGTTTTTGAACTGAGTAATTACAAAAGTGTTTGTTTCAAAAATACCTGATACTTACGATGTGTGATTCTTTATTTTTTACACATAAGAACAGTGATTCACATAGAAATACTTTTGGAATGTTGAAAACTAGTCAATAGAGGGTAACAAAACCTTATATTGGATGAAGTAAATGGGGGGAGAGATACCTGTCCAATGTACCTTTTTACAATTTTTTTTTTCTATTTCTCTTTTGAGAATGTAGACTAACACAAACACGTTTATGGTTCTTGAATTCTATCAAAGTTGTTGTTAGTACACAAAGAAGAAATTACTTTCTTACATCTAATTGTATTGCGTGGGTGTTTAGCTCTCTAGATTATCAGCACTGCATATTTTGCCCAAAATACTGTATATTGACAAATGTTTAAACAGTACAGATTAGCTATTTTAACTATGTAATGATGAACAAAGAGAATGACACACACACAAAAACATAAACAAAAAATAAACACAATTTGGCTAAAAATATAAAATATATATATATAAAAAAATGTGTTACTCACTCCACTCTTCCACTTGGGCAGTTCCACTTCACTTTGAATTCAGGTCCTCTACCTATAAGCCTGGAAGTTTGAGGCTTCTCATCCTTTCCTGGTGCTAAACACAAGGCTGAAAGATGTAATCATGACTGGCAAAGGTCTAGTTACTCTTATTGGCCAGTTTGCTTCATGGAAACAAAGCATGCCTTTAACATAGAAGTTGTACGAATTTTACTGTCAGATTTTTTTTAAAGAAAGTTTCAAATTATTCTTTTTTTTTTAATTATTTTTATGAAAAGAAGGCAGTTTTGACTAACTGAAATGCCCTGTATGGGTCATGGTATGTCGTGGCTTTCTATAAGAGCTAATTGGATTAAATCATTATTTGGTTACAGTTGATTTTTGAGAGAAATTAGTATTTCCCATCACTAAACTGACATACTTTGCTGTTTTTTTTTCTAAAATTTATCACAGGAATATTTTGACAAAATGTTTCTTTATTTTAGCCTTAATGGATACATTATTTCTGAGAGAGGTGAATATTACTTAAAGCTTCAAAATAGCTTTTGATTTGAGACAAAAGTAATTTAGAGTTCTGTTGTGTGTGAATGTTTTCCAGATGACAAACTATATTTTGAATATCTACCATTAAATGCAAGTGAATACAATTTGTGTCATTAATCAAATATTAATTAACACATTTTCCTAATAAAAATGTGAGGGTAATAAGTGTACCCTGTTGTTAAGTGACAAAATACAGTAGATGAATGATAAATACAATTTAAATTCCTTTGAGTCTCCGCAGTCAGTTTCTGAATATTTTTTGAAGTTCTTGTAATGTATTATTTGTATCCATTGTGATTGTCAGATTAATTAAAATATATATCTTAAACCGGTTGCGGTTTTGTTGCTTAGTTTTTCTTTTTTTATATACACTATATAGTTTAATCACAAGTTCCTCTTTGTAACACTGTGTTGAGCATACATCCTTAACCAGCAGTTCTGAGCTGTTTTTATTTTTATTTTTTGAAGGTGACTGCCCAAATAGTATAGTCTGAACACTAACATTAAGTTGTCTCTATTCAACTAACAAAATGCACTTCAGCTTTTGAAATTAATACAATTTTGATAGGTTTTCACTTGGACTGATACAGCTTTCAGCCTGTAATTGTACATTATGTTATAAAATTAGAACTGGCTTTGAAGTGTTAATATTTTTTAGGTTGTGCTCTACAGCTTCATTGTATAACTGAGCTAAGAGACCAAGAGGAAGATGCCTCCCAGGCCATCCTCAGGGGAGCTATGGGGCATCCACCTGATGCCTCCAAGGTATGACTCTACCTAAATAGTCTTTTCTGGAAGAAAGTAAATATTTAATGTTTTTTGTGAATGTAATGATGCTCTCTGTATGCACAGAATTTTGGTGGACTGCCTACTACCCAATGGGATGATTCTGACCCTGGAGTGTCTCCGTGAGGCCACACTCAATACCATCAAACATGAACTGTTCAAGGAGGCTAGAAAATATCCTCTCCATCACCTTCTACAGGAGGAGACGTCCTATATCTTTGTCAGTGTTACACAGGTGAGAACTAAGGAATACCTCCAGGGGGCTCTTTTAAAAAGAAAATCGAGTCTGTTTCTGATCAAATGTGACGAAAAGGCCTTTTTTAAATGGCAGACAGTACACAAAAATGATTTATCATTGTGCAAATTAAAACATATCTTAGTATAAGTTGGTGAGCTCATCGTTTGCAAATCAGAAAGAATCGTGACCCATCTAGGACCACCTTAACAGCTGATATGACGAAACATGTTCTTAAAAGAAATTTACCACAGACAAAATAAACCCTCCTAGTTACAAATAGCAAAAAATTAACAATTTTAGCTTTAACAGTGTCTTAGAAGTTTTGTTTTTATATCAATATTCACTTCACATTGTTCTTCTTTCATCAACAATTTCCTGTGGGATCAGTAAAGTTCTATCTTATCTTATTCTTCATATAATAGGAAGCAGAGCGGGAGGAGTTTTACGATGAGACCCGAAGGCTATGTGACCTTCGGCTGTTCCAGCCTTTCCTCAAAGTCATTGAACCAGTTGGAAACAGGGAGGAAAAGATCCTTAACAGAGAGATTGGTGAGTTGTTTTTTTTAACCTATAAGATTATTTGTTCTGTTGTAACTTTATTTACAAGATGAGAGCTCTGCGATGGCGTTAAAGTCAAAGCAGTCTGCGCCTCGGTTAAATATATATATATATATATATATATATATATATATATATATA